AAGATGAACATGAGCCTGCAATGCGATGCGGCGGCTAGTAAAGTGACCAAAACGCTGGCTTGCATCCATAGATGCTTCTCAAGCAAATCCCGGGACGTCATTCTCCCCTTGTACTCGGCCTTAGTGAGGCTGCAGCTGGAGTACTGCATCCAGTTTTGGGCTCCACAATTCAAAAAGGATGTGGAGAAGCTTGAGAGAGTCCAGAGAAGAGCCACGCACATGATCAGAGGTCAGGGAAGCAGACCCTACGATGACAGGCTGAGAGCCCTGGGGCTCTTTAGCCTGGAAAAGCACAGGCTCAGGGGTGATCTGACAGCCACCTATAAGTTTATCAGGGGTGACCACCAGTATCTGGGGGAACGTTTGTTCACCAGAGCGCCCCAAGGGATGACGACTAGGTTGAATGGTCATGAACTACTTACTACAAGACCGTTTCAGGCTGGACATAAGGAAGAATTTCTTTACTGTCCGAGCCCCCAAGGTCTGGAACAGCCTGCCACCGGAGGTGGTTCAAGCGCCCACATTGAACACCTTCAAGAGCAAACTGGATGCTCATCTTGCTGGGAACCTATGACCCCAGCTGACTTCCTGCCCTTTGGGCAGGGGGCTGGACTCGATGATCTTCCAAGGTCCTTTCCAGCCCTAATGTCTATGAAATAGGAATCAACAAGATGCCAGCCTGAAGAACTATGAAGAGTTTCTTTTTTCTTTTTTTTTTTTTGTTTTGTTTAAACGAGTGGGGGAATGATCAGCATTTGTTTAAGATAGTGGAAACATAAGGTTTCCTCTCAGTGCCTACCTTTTTGATGTTGGCATAAGCCCAAATCGGCCTTTATGAGCTGCTTTAGAACATCAAAAAGATTGTGTGAACTTCAAGCCTGGAAGATGTTAACACAAGTGCCCATGCTTTACCACTTAAAACCGAATAGGTAATTTGACTAAGTTCTAGCAAGAAAAACTCCAGTGACACAGTACAACAGATTAAGGAACACCGTTTAAATTCTAGGAATTGGTAGTAGTTAAGTTGCCTTATAAAAAGATGTTATATAGTTAGGAATATATGTTCAACAACTGCAGATGCAAGCAGCAACAGTGAACGAGGCAGGCACTCTATGCAAGGTCTGAAGTTGACCCTAAGATCTCTTAAATGAATTACTACATTTAACAAAGCAGTTTCTTAGAAGGAATTTAAGGCATCCACTGTCAATTTCCATAAATTGGTAATAAAAATTCCTGCCTACTTAATAACATTTCATTATGGAGATAATTTCTTTGCTATTTAAAAGTTGTTCACCAGTCTACCAAAATTAGAGGACGATTACTTTAAGACTTGAGAAACCCACATCATGCAACACCCTACACACAGAGGATGCACTTTATTTAGTAGCCTTTAAAATGGGTGAAGGCAAAAAAATAAGTGAAGTCCAGGCTATATAGCCTTTAAGCAGTTTATTATATTGCCTTCATCAAAATAAAACAACACTGGACAAGTTATTTGCAACACAAGCACCACAAAGAAAACCAAAAGAAGATTATTTAAACAATTTCTAAAGTTGCAAATCTAGAATGCACACATACACCAAGTGGACACTCAATTTCAAGGAAACCTAGCAAAATTTTTCAGGTAACTCAATAGCTACATAAAGGAATAAGCTGCTAAGACCTGATATGGTTCAAACCTTCAGGAGTTCAGAGCCAGAATCTAGAACATCCAAGTAACTATTATTGGTTGTCTATCAATTGGATAGACTACATTGGTTGTCTATCAAATTAGCCTATAGCTGAGGGGTGGGCAAAAAACAGTCTACAGGCCAGATTTGACTTGCCAGCTGACTAGATCTGGCCCACAGGCAGGCACTTACCAATTAACTGTATCTAGCCCAGCTGGCAGCCCCTCCACACAGGGCCGAGTCCCGCCAACTCCTGCCTGGGGCAGCACATGCTGCGCTCCGAGTCTTTCCCAGAAGGCCACAGCCCTGGCCAGTGGGCAGATTCCAAGCATGGCTGCTATTGCCACTGCTGCAGCCGCCTGGGGAACTGCAGTGTTGAGGGGAGCGGGGCAGGCAGATTTGGGGGGGGG